ATTAATTGACTTTAGGATATATTATGTCTGTAAGATCAACATTTCTATTTCCTCATGAAGAGATGCTGCCAGAATGAAATGTGGTGCTATTTCTTATCTTTTAGAGTTCCTGTATTGAGAAGGAAGGTGTAAAGAGACACAAACTGGATGGATATGAGGCCCAGAGTACAGAAATTGTCCCTTAATTCTTCTCCTTGGGGAATCTCTAGAAAACTAATGGTTTTTGACGACTGTTTTTTAAACAATAGTTACCTATTCCATATAATTTCACTGTAGTTACTTCCTGAGAGAGACCCAGACACAGCCAAGTGTCTGTTCATAGACCTCAGGTAAACACACTGCTGGGGGGTGTTGAGAGGTAGCTGGGGCAGGGCACAGGGGGAGAAAAAGTTCAAAGACTAATTGATAGTAGGCCTGTTCTACAAAGTCTTTTGGCTGTTGTTTTATTTTTTTGAGATAATTATGGGTATGTTACTGCCTTTAGTGTAATTGTGTAATCAATCAATTGCAGGGACTTAAGTGCCCTCTTTTGAGCATATATTTGATGAATAAGTGGAGTGTGTATTTCCTATTTTTTCCAGTTCTCAAACTGTTTGGTTTTTTTTTTTTTAGAGGTCACCAATGCCATTCTAGAGGGAATTTGCCTTTGTCTATCCTTATTATTCCCTGGAATTTTGCTGTTGGCCACAGTCAGGAGACAGAACTACAGAAGAGACCTTTTGTTCAGTCCAGGCTGGCAATTCTCATGTTCTTGGCACTTTCTGGTGGATTAATCACTGCAGGATGACCCAAATATACCATCATGGCAGACTGGTGAAAAGGCTATAACTAATTTATAATGTAGATCTGTACTTTGATAAAGTACTCACTTGAGCAATATCTAAGAGTTTCCACTACCTTCAAACTTTTCATCCTCACTAATATATTAGGGCATTTTCTCCTAATTTTCCTTTCCATGCCTTACTGTCTCCTGTGAATCTTAGAAGAGATCAGTTGTGGTCCATCTGTTGATTGCATTGTTTTCAATGGATCAGTGATTTATATTTACTATATCAGATTTCCATTAAAGATGATACTTCTAAATAAGAGCCATGAAACTGCCTCCTGGTACAATACCACAAAGGTCATTAAGCTCACTCCTGATTAATTTTTAGAGATTTGGGGTTTCTTCTAGAGAAACAATGATGTGTTCCAGTTTCATCTGAATTTACTACGGACATAATGCAAAACAAATTGTGGAAGTAATGCAGAAGTTCCAGTGAAAGAGAAGCTGAGCTTCAAATTGAAACTGCAAATTGAAAATGCAGTTACAGAGAAGTCATCCCCCTTGACCATGGAGTCCTTCCTTCTTCTCACTGAGGAACTTTCCAACAACTTAGCCAAAGGGACTAGCTTCATTGTCTTTTGCCCCATGACAGTACTTTTAAGAGATTACTTGTAGTTGCATCCCCAATCTGCTAGTTGCTTTTGTCTTCTGAGATTTCCAACAGGAATTTGGGTCATTTTCTTAATTTTTTTCTTGTTTGTTTGATTTTAGTCTGATTAGAATTATATTTTAGTGACTCAGATCTCCACTGTGTATTATTTCTGTTTCCCTGGAGATTTGTTTCATGTTCTTGACTAATGAATGAGACTTATGGCTTAGTTTTAAAGATTATTTAATATCAATGTAATAATCAGGAGTTGCATCTGGCAGAATTTTAAACATTTTAAAGTTATAATACTATTTTGTTGCATGCGTAATATAATATGCACATTACATCTTTCTACTGTAATCCAAATAGATTAATAACATAGATTATAAAATTTGTATTTTGAGTGTTTAATCTAAAATACTTTTCTCCATTTTTTATTTTTAAGGACCTATGCCATTGCACCTGCATTTGAATTCTCCTGATTATAGAGAACCTTGCTTGCTAAAACAATGAGATAAATGTGTTCATTTATCATTGCTTGTACCCAGAAGAACTATGACTGACATTCCTGCAGGTATTCTGGCAAGCTAAAAGGTTTCTTACAGCTAATAGGAGGGACTAAGATGAATTTGAAGACAAAAGGGTTCTATTTTGCTCTAAAGACAACTTATATTTTCTAAACTGGGGATTGCAGATTTCAAAACTTTTCTAAGCCCTCTGCTGACCTTGAACACTTCCTGCAATAATGGAACTAAAGTCTGCAATTACAAGCCTTACATACTGCTTCAAAATAATTTTTATATTCTGTATTTTTGGCTTCCTAACACATTCCTTTAAAACAGTGTATGCAGCTGTGGTGGTTTAACCCCAACCAGCAACTCAGCCCCACACAGGCACTCACTCACTCCCCTGCAGTGTGATGAGGGAGAGAATTAGAGGGTAAAGGTGAATAAACCCATGGGTTGAGATAAAGGCAATTCAAAAGGTAAAGCAAAAGTTGCATTCTAAAGCAAAGCAAAACAAGAATTGATTCCCCACTTCCCATGAGTGTTCAACCATCCCCAGGAGAGCAGGGCTCCATCAGCTGTGACCCAGGGAGACAAATGCCATCACTCTGAATATTCTCCTCCCCCAGCTTTATGTGATGACCATGATGCCACATGGGCTGGGATATCCCTTGGCTCAGTTGGGATCAGCTGTCCCAGCTTTGTCCCCTCCCAGTCTCTTGTGCCTCCCCATTCCCCTGGCTGTTGGGATGGGGTGAGGAGCAGGAAAGGCCTTGGCTCTTTGCAAACCCTGCCCAGCCAGAACTAAAATACCCATTTATTACCAGCACTGTTTCCAGCACAAACCTCAAACACAGCCCCATACTAACCCTAAGTTTTGCTATCAATCACCCAACCCTCTGCATGCAAATAATTGTCCTACTTCAGCCTACAGAGGCTGAAAAGCTAAAGAGAGGATAAAATACAAGAAATAATTTTTATCCATAAACAGAGGATCCATAAAAACTTACAATTAAAGCAAATAATAGTAAAAGGTCACATTATCTTGCTTCTCCATATGTATAAAGGTCAATCATCCAAAGTCTCCAGTTGTTTCTCATTGTTTTCCAGAGAAAGAAGAATAACTGTTGAGATGTTAACACCACTAGATATCACTATGTGTATACACATATAATTATAGAAATCATTGTATACGAAGACTTTACAGTCTAAGGGAAGATAAATATATGCAAGATTAGTAGATCACTTGACTTACTCAGAAGTATATCCAATCACATAAAGTTACCACATTTCTGATGGGAAGAATAATATAATCATAGACTATACTAATTGGGAAGGGAGATAGCCAACAGAGGAATTGGTGACAGTGACTTCTTAATCTTCTTCATTATCAGAAGTATTTGTATGATTGTGTCTATAGGATGGTGAGAAGTTTGGTCGTAGCTCAAGGAATACTGGGAGTTGTGAAGAGGAAGTTGTAAGAATAGAGTTTTTGTGGCCTGCAGCAGAAGGAAAGGATCTCTGGGCAAAGGCAACAGGAGTTGTAGGAAGAGGCAGAATAGATTGTGGGGATGCAACTTCAGCAAGAGAGAGACAAGATTTAGCTGGAAGCAACAAGGGGGAGCCAGCACCATGTGACTCTCCAGCCAGTGTTCACTACCACTGGTATTGCAAAAGAAATCTTAGGAATAAAATTTTATTTGAGGCAGAGTAATATATCTAAGTCCTGATCTTGGCGTTTGGTGGAGATACTATAATTATAAAAACTTGATCAGATCTTCCAGTAAGAAATCCTGTACGATGACAGGTAATATTCAGGTCACACTTCTCCTTTGAAGTTTTAATGGCCACTACAATTTTATGTTAGTCACTCACTCATGTTTGAAGTAGGCGTGCAAAGCCTTGGCTGTCTCCATTTGTCTATAACTACTTTAGAAGCTTCTGAAGGCACTGAACTCATAAAACTGCAGGCTTCAAAGAGCTTATTCAAAGATTCCATTCTGCTGCTGCCATTTATCAAAGGGACACTTTTAAAATATATAGCTCTTTATAATAAAATATTTTTTAAAATATAAACCCGACAATGGAGATGATTAAAACAAAATCTCCATTGGCTTCAATGGCAGCAGAACTGAGTTCCATAGCTTTGAATATAATATTTATATTTCTACAAATAATTTTATATTCAAGTAAGTTCTTAATATAATGAAGCATGATTCATTTTCCCTTCTTTTTATTTCCTCTTGCCCCAATAATTTTTTGGAACTTCACTGTGTGTTTAACCTTGAACTTTAAATCAAATTTTAAATTTAACCCCACAATACAGAAAAGTATTGTCTCTTCTAAAGAAAATAGAAACTCCCTCTTTCTAAATAGAATTAATTCCATTTTCTGATGCAAACCTGAAGGGTCAGTAGAATGTTAATGTTAGATTATAATTTATTTAAAAAATAAATCCTAGTATATTTTATTTTATTCTGTCATTTATCAATTCCATGATAGATCTTTCTGAGTTCTAGTACATGATTCTAGATAAATCACATGACATAGAGTTATTTTTTATCCCATTTAAACCAGAATAACAATACTTACCTACATGCCTTTCACAGGACAGGGTCTCCTGTCCAATCCTGCTTCCCAAAACACAGAAGGAGACTTTCCATTGACTCTGTTAGATCAGCCTTTTAACCCCACACCTTCTGTAAAAATCATGGCCTGTGGGGAAAGTGGTAGTTGATGTCTATGGAATGGGTATGGTATCAGCTAAAAATGATTTTAGAAGTGAATCTTTAGGGTTATAAAGTGCTGTTACTCCTTCCTTAGTCCAGCTCAGTTGCTTGTTTTGTTTGCCTCAAGAGAGGACATCATAACATCACATCTGTTGCCATGGGAATGGTTGTGAGTTTGCAAATTCAGCTTCATGTCTTCATGAAATCAGGCAGAACAAAAGAAATGGGCAATAGGGGGAAAGCTGTTGTTTAAGAGCAAGGGCAATTTGATCCTAAACCCTCTGTCTTTACTGGGTAACTCCCCATTGAGCACCTTTTGAAGTTACTCCTTTTCTGTTGTTTCTTACAAGGTTTCCCTGGTTCCTTTGGGAAGGGAATTCCATATCCAGTCTGCTTGAGCACTGCCTGGTGGAGTGGCCTGATTTGAATCTCTGGACTCAGTACAAATAAACAAAGATAAAATGATGATAATGATATTGTAAACACAGGTAATAGCGCTTCACTTTTCCTAGTCTGGTGTAATTCCCCCATCACTCCAATTACAAATTACCTTATTCCAAAATAATTTCTTTGGTTTGGATAACAATCTTTTTCTAAAATAAAGTTATTACTATTTTAGACTAAAATTCCCTATCACAGAAAATATACTGGAATACCTAAATGACAAGTATCTGGTAGATGCCTTGTTTACACAGAACTTCAGAATCTGGACTTTTTAAACAAGTGTGTCAAGTTTTTTAATTTTTGTTTTTGTATTTTGTTTTGTTTTGTTTTGCAGTAGCATTGTTACTTTATCTAATTAAACAGAGGAAGAAATTTGAGGGTTGCACTACATCTACCAATCATTGTTTCTGAAGTGTTATTTTGAATTCCTAGCTATTCCTGGAATACACAGTCCTGCTTGGAAAACCATGGCTCTGTTAATGGCCTGCTTTAGAAGTAACACAATTGCCAATCAATAAAAATTGGCATAGAGGATATTTGGGAAATACAATTCATGGTCTCCATAGTGCAGTTCTGAAATATCAGGGTAAGTGATGGGCTTTCTTGGAGTGTTGTACAAATTTCTGTTTTGTCTTTGCAGAACCATTTAGGAAGGTCAAAATAATGATATAGTCCTGCACCTAATCTTTTTGACTGGACTTGTGCATCAGTTAAAGAGTTTACCTCTCTCTGGAGGTGGATTTGACTGATTTTTTTTTTTTTTCCTAGATGGACAAAACTAAATTTCCTGTCTTACAGCCTTTCTTTCAAAATAATTTTGACGAACTACTGGAACTGTAGGCCTTTTTCTTACACACACAGTGATACCTTTTATAGTAAAATTGAGGTATTTATTTGAAAATCCAAAGTTTTGAATTCTATAATAAGGTATGAAAGGCCCTTTCTGGGGGACTGACAAAATTGTGAATGCTGAATGCCCTCCCCTACTTCCCCCTCTCCACATGTTAAACCAAAGATGTGCAACTTTGGTAACCTCTGGGGTACAAACTCTTGTTACTTTGATGAAAAATCTGAGGTGGAATTTATAATCTATTTCTTACAGAATTTGATGAGAATGGGGCTTGTTTTTAAAGGGGGACTTACCCAAATTTCCTCAGATGTCTTTGGACATTCCATGCAGTTGCAGTGTGCTGCTGGAGATGTGGATGTGCCATAGCTGTGCAGACTTTCATGTTCTCCAAGCTCCTGAAGTCCTGTCTGAAGATCAGCCAGGAGAGCACAGGGGCTGATTCCTACTCTGGGGGCTGCTGCCATTTAGACCTCTACAGAGTCAGAGAAAGAACAAGATTGTGATTTTTATGTTCATTTCCACCCACTGCAGCCAACAATGTCTTCTTCAACCATCAGTCATAGGATAAAGTACTGAAATAATCCCAGGGGTGGGAGGTGGCACCTTTTTTGTTTGCTCTACAGTGGTTTTAAAGGGAAATGTATTTCAAGGCACCTTTGATCAACATTTTTACTTGGGAAAAATATTTTTTCTCTATAATAAATTGTTGAATAAGAGCATTGAATCTTATGGTTTGAACCTGACTAATGAATTTGTGTAATGTGACATTGATCAGACCAAATTTATGATATACAGAATAAAGAGGCCAAAGCAAATGTTGCAGTAAATTGACCAAATATTTTGAGAACTACTGAAAAATTCTTCTGTCCAAAAGATGGTGTTAGCAAACACGTACAGACTTGAACTGCAGCCAGCCCTTAGAAATGTACACCTTGGCACAACTGCAGAAAATGAAAAGGTAAAAAGAGCAACAAATAGGTTTTCAAAAATATGGAGTAACTAAAATATTTCAAAACTGCTCCATGAAAAGCGGTGCAATAGTGTGTCTAGCTGGCATAATTGTGTCAAAACTCAGCCTCAGTTTTGCTGTTTATTTCAAGCCCAAAAACAATGTAAAGCTGGTCTTTCCCATTTATAGCATTTTTTTCCAGTAAATTGTACCACCTTTCTTCACATTATATTATTTACTTATACAAGGCAAACATGCACCACACAGGAAAAATTGTTGAGGTATAAGAGCAAAGGCACATCTAAACAAACAGCTTGAGAACAAAGCTGTGATGACATGGGAGCAGTTCTCACTGAGTCTCTGAATACGTTTTCAAAGCAGGATTTTGTACCTGATTAGTTGCCGTATTTAAATTTCCAAATAAATATTGGTGTTCAGTGAAAGATAATTACTAGAGGCATTATGAGTCTGAGCACTGTGTCAAAAGCAAGGGTTGTGCTTGTTTATTACTGTGAACAGAATGGGAACCCTTATGTCTGAAACACTTTGAATCACATCATAAGGAGATGAAAACAGCACTTGAAATGATGCAACAGGGATCCAGTGTGAATCTGGGTGGAATCTGATGCAGAATCAAACCATCAACTCTGGGCTTTGGGTAGACCTTCTCTGCTGATCAGGATTTGAATGCTTTTCTTAAATCTCATAAGCACTCTCTAAAGTTCTTTGTGTGTTTTTAGTAAAAGATAGCACATTGACATAAGTTCCATTGTGCTGAACTGCTAACACCTAGACAAAGCTAAGCTGTCAAAATCAAACTTATTTATAAGTTCAGACTTCTCCTAAGGTAAAAATAACTTACTGTTGAAAAAAAAAGATGAAGACACAAAGATAGTGGCAGATGCCCCGAGTGCATTTTGAAATGCAGAAGTGTTGTTATTTAACTAATAAAAAAAAAGACATTACTCTGAGTAGAACTAGCTTAGAAGTGTTACATCCATTCTTAGTAAGTATTTTTTCCCATTTTTCTCTTTGGCCTTAACCAAGACCAACTGTTAAAATCCATCAAAATGACCTGATCTGAATATTCAGAAGTGATTATCGCTGAACTGCTTCTGTGAAGTAAAACTTTAATTAGTCTCATAGTTTGAGAGACAGCCTGTACTACACATCTCAGGGACCAAATGCCAGGAAAGAATTAACAAACTACATAGAAGCTGTATTCACTGGAAAATTTATCAGAGCACCAAAAGGAAGTTGCACACAAGGTGAGCCTTTAAAAAGAACCATTTCTTGCTGGTTTCACATTCCTGTCAGGCTGAAGCTTAGGGACAGGACAACTGGCATGGGAAAAAAACCTTCTGGAAGTTACAGGAACAAATTCTTGGGAATGCTCTGAGGATCCCCTTTCCTCCATTATGTCAGACACCCTGGATGTCCTCCCAATGCTTGGACAGGCCCAGATCTGAGTCCTTCCTTCCAGCCCCACAGGGACACTTTCCATGCCCACACCACTCACTCTTCATACTTTATACATGTTATACATGACTTTATACATACTTTATACATGTTATACTTCATACATGACCCTTTTGGCTTCTTCCCTCCAGACTCCTTTCACACCATTATGAATTCTCCTACTTCTACAATGGGAAGACAAGCAGAGATGAAATATTTTGTTGTCACACTCCATGCTGTTAATAGCTTTGATCTGTGGACAATTACAAATCCTATTGTAGCCTCTGGGTCTGCCAGCTCAATATCTGAGCTTCATATATTCCCTGTTTAGCTTTGTTTCTCATTTGATTCTGCTTAAATCTGTAAATACCTATGACTTTATGCCTAGGATGTTCTTTGAGAAATGGTGGAGCAGATTGGATGTATTATTTAAAAGTTTCCATGTTACAGCCTAAAAGACAAACGACACCAACCTGAGAATAAAACCCTGCTCCATTTGGCTCCCTGTTATCTGCAGTAGCTTTCCCGGGGTGAGCTATTTGGAGGATGTACAGAAGCAGGTGTGACTTTCATGTTGCTATTAAGGTGAGGCCATTGTAACAAGAGCTGTGATGAGTTTTCATATATTTTGAAAAGACAAAACCAGGACACTGGCTTTGCTTCACATGTGGGTGAAAGAAGGCAAGGGGCACAGCCAGAGGAGCTAGGAACCAAGAACAGCCAGCCAGAGAAAGTTCTGTGATCAAAGTCCAAGAAAAGGTTTTTTTTTTTTCCCATGAAATTTGCCATTAGAGATATTGAGGAGGCCTATGTATTAAATTCCTGAGTTTTGAGGCACCGTAATAGAGCTGTCAAACAAAGATATAGAAAGTGCCACTGTTTCCACGAGACATGACAAGCTAAGGATTCCCAACAAAGTAAGGCCACCTGAAGAGGGATAATGAAAGTGATTACATCAGCAAAGAGGAAGGAACAATCCAGGTAAAGAGTTGGTGGATGTTTGATCTTGGAGGGTTGCTGTTACCTCCAGTGCAGTCATCCAAAGCTGTCTAAAAATTAAATAGGCTAAAAGAACAAGAATGCCTAGGATTTCTTCCAGGAATTTCTGTAGTTACCTACTAGGCATCAAAGGAGACTTCTTTTGAACCTTCAAATATACAAGGAGGTCACATGCATTAGTGACTGCAGATTTGGTAGCCTATTATTCATTATTTTCTTTTATTGATTGTTTTACAGTTCCCAAGGCTTGTGTGTTGCTTTCTGTGCCACAAAAAAAAAATCTGTAAAATCTTGAGGTTTTTTATAGGAGTAACAGCAGCTGTCTCACCTTGTTAATGACAATAACAGCCTATTTTTTGCCTATTAATTCTAATTAGGGGGTCTCACATGAATGTTAAGTCAAATTTTTATAATGAATGATGTCTTATAACTGGAAAAAAAAAGACAGTTTGACCTAAAATAATTTCTTATTTAAAGATGAACTTTAAAAATGTAAAGTTCCAACAAATTATTTACTTGGCTTGACCACTTTTTTAGTTTTTTTAAAAAAGAAAACATGATGACATGCCATACTCGGGTTATGCTGGCATACAAGACAAAGAGACAAGCCAAAGCAATGATAAAATTGTGGAAAAGTAGGGTATCACCCACAAATATAAATAACCCTAATTAAACAGATGCAGTTAGAAAAACAATCTACTTGTTTTATAACTCTAGGTGGCAGCAGTGGAACAAAATAGAGAAAAGTGTGTGATTATGATTATACTTGCTCC